TAGGCCCAATCCCTCTCCATCTTGTGCTTTATCACTTGATTTGTGTACATTGTGAGCTTGGCAGCGATCAGTGAAGCTCGCTTCACCGTATCTCGCTGTACGATGATGATGATGATTGTCTCGTGGTTCTCCTGTTCGAACTCCACCATGGTCGACCTACTTTCACATTGGTTTACTGATAGCCTTCGACTGGCTGCGAACCCCTTCCTGAAAATCGATTGTCCTTGTCGTGTGCCGGACAAACTGGAGCACAAAATGAACACTAGCATCTCTGATGCTATGTTTCCTAACCTCACACAACTAAGAATGTTAAAGAAAAGTCTGGACTAGCAGTGAGCAGAGAGACTGCAGTCTTAAGAGGCCAAAGTGCACAAATGGAGACCAAAAATCCAAAACCTGACTGAGACTCAGGATAACGAGGCGTTTACGAATTTCGTGCTCTGAGGTAGACAGAGGCATGCCTGAAATCAAAGTATGATTCTACAATAACCCGCGCACTAGCGCCAGGATAACTCTAAAGGAGGATTACACACGCTAACGCAATATCCACGACTGGTCACCGCAACAACCTATGAAAGGCACTGTCGATTATTTTCTTATTATCTTCGCTAAAAGATAAGTCGGCTTGGAGAACACCGTAATTAACCACAGAGATCCCTTGGAAGCGAACTGTAAGCGCTGTCCCCAGCACAGTGCCAAGGTTCAACCATAACCCTTTCAAATTTAAGTGCATTTTGAAAGAAAGCACGGTTATTCTAGTCCAGCACGTGACCGGTAGTCTGGCTTATTCGACTCTCCTGGACAACCTTTTAGGGTAGATGGAAAAAGACGAGACGAATGGGGTCCCGTTCGCCACGTTATAGTACCGTCGTCGGGCGTCTCATATAGAGCATGCTTGTTAAGCGAAAACCTGACGCGTCTGCAGTCAATACCACTGTTCGTCCGCGGCCGTTTATTAAATGTTACTCATTCCGCCTGGTTCGCGGATAACCGCCAACTTAGTAGCCGCGATCTAGGGACACACCGGGTAAATTATGAAGGGAGTTTTGTCAGATATGTAACCCAGGCCGTCTAAAACGCTGTCCAATATGTGAAAACAATGAAGAAAAAAGAAAAGTCAGACTTCAATTGCATACTAGGTCTGTGATAGTAGTGTTAGGAACACCAAAATAATATCCAAAAGGTTACATATCTTGGGCAGAATAAGGAATGAGATAAATGATTGACTTCAACGGATCGGATTGGGCATGTAACGGGTTGTGGTGGCAAACCTATACTCATAATCATTATCAAAACGTGAGATGGGTGTATGAGGATCCCTGCTACGTTTTCCAACCAACACGGATTGAGTGTGGCCGGGCAACAAACACACTTTACCTGCAATACGACACGTCAGGCCAGAGAGACGCTTGTCAATTTGTTGTTGACGTTCCAACAAGCATGCGTGCTTTTTGGTCATACGCTCCGCGTTCTCTTGTAACACTCGTTTGGTTTCGGCCAATTTGATTGCCTCCTGATACTGCAGAGACAAGTGATCGGCCAGTCGATTTGTGTACTGTTCAACAAATGTGCGAGCCCGTGTTAGTCGATCCAACGGACCAGAACGCAATAGCTCGGTTGCCTACATAAAACGAAAAAAGTAACACTAAAAATGACAGAATATTCTGTATGATACATCCCAAACAAATGAGTCATTTGTTTCAAAACTTTGGGCACAGTGGTTTACAGGGATGTTAACTGGAAGCACACGATTGTGAGAACTAGTTGCTGAACGGCAGCACCGCCGCAGAATTTATTTAAACCATACACATCCCACTACGAAGAAATACAGCGAACTAATATCACAACAAAAATCGTTGACTCTTCCAACTAAACAGAACGTCAACCGCACTGTTGGTTCACGTACACTAGTAGTCCAACTAGCCTAGAGGGTTTGAGTAACGATATGGATCCGCCACTTCAACCGAGTGCGGCTATAAACGCAGCCGTTAAACAACTCTTCTTGAATAACTTCCCCTGCTGAGTGTGGGTGCATTTCGTCAAATAAGAGCAAACATGGACCTAAGTGAGACAGCCTCGTGTGAGGTGACGGAAACATAAACGATATCCATAGAAAGATGAGCAAACTGGTACCAAGTAGCTCAAAGAAGAGCAAGCTATTGGCCTTACACGGTGGCAATACTCGTATATATATAACAGAATAGTATACAAGTGCGGTATGAAATGAAGGGTAATAATCCTATCGACCTATCGGAGCCTTATGTGGTTCCCCACTCCAAGTTTTGGGGCTTAGGTTGCTGGTTTTCATCAGTGAGTTGCAGGTCCTCGTGACTATTGGGTTTACCCCGTCTGCTGTTCATCAATCACACTAAAAAGTGTGTACTAAAAATGTGCCGGAGAAAAAATGATCGCAAACGCTGGGTTGGAGTACGATCACATACTTAACAGTAAATAAAGACGAATTGCCAGTTTCTGTAATTAATACCTAGGAGTGCAATCAGGAAAGAACTTTCGACTCACGAAAGTGAACAGTAGTGGTGTCATTTATTTTTTTAACAATGATGACAGTGACGAGATGAGGGATTAGAATATACATAAACGGGATCACATGCTAGTGCCGACGATTTAGACCGCCGCTGTATTTATCACGCGCGGAGCCATGAGGTACAGCTCTAAATTACAGAGACAAGATTCATGTTGTACTGGAAATAGAGAACCCCCGATGGTACAGTGATCAGTGACCTGTCTGTCGTCAATATCTGTCCGCGAAGACCTCTCGTTTATGATTATACGAAACTGCATGGTATCCGTAAAACATGATGTGACCTCTGTGAAACTAGAATCTATGAATAAAGACAAATGCCTCGCTTATCAACATCAGACTAATGCCGACAACTAAAAGGCTACCTGGAACATCACCGATTAATTTATCAATCAATCCGTAAAGGTAATCGAGTTTGGAACATTGCCTACTCATAAGTAGTGCATCCCTAGACGCCTCAGCGTTTTCCAATGCAAACACTGAGGTAACAGGCACACAGAAGCCGAAAACAGCTGCTTCATAGCCGAAGACCGAATATAAAACTAACCTTCAGAAAAAACTGAACGAGCTGAATCTGTGTCAGATTGTTCTGCGTAGAAAGACCGGTGATCACGGGAAGACCAGATCCATCGGATTTAAGCATTCGTTGGAGATGCAACTTAAACTCCGACTTTGGAGCATGGATAGTTGAATCAGTTTCATCGATTCTATGCGGGTTGGAGCTACGAGATGAACAATATGGTAAAAACAAAAAACTAAAAATGAAATCAGAAGTGATAGACATTTATTCCATGGAACAGTGCGATGTGAGATTAACACAAGTAGCTGCGGAACTCTGCGTACGCGTTAGGCGAATATGCACGCAATCTAAATGTGCTAAATAAAGACAAATAAATTACGCAAACGTTGAGTTAATAACTCACATTACGCTAGCGTGACACTCGAATCGAGCAAATTTTACAGTCTACAGACACAAAAAGTTTAACTCAGTTATTAATCACAAACCTCAACAGCTTGATAGCTCAGCTTCCCTCAACTTAATACGATACAACCAAAAGGGGGATTAAATACGTTAAGATGCAGGGAATAATGGGCGATAAATTGTTTTTATATTGGATAAAACTGTAGTTTTCTTCAAACACTATAATTAAAACAAAAGTTAGTTTGAGCATAACACAACTCTCCCAGCGGGCTGCCTGAATTATTTTTCCCTTAGCTGCAAAGCTGCGCATGTTGATTTAAGCTAGCCAATACAGGACACGCTCATTTTTTGTTATCTGCAATCATTGTTAGTCGTCATAAAATGATAACGGTAAATAACCGAAAAAGCTCGTCGAATAAATCAAGAGTGGTCGGAAGTCTTACATATTCGATTGAGTGGTAGCAGTCTCTAGTTGCTGGAGAGGCCTCGGACGCTTAAATTCAATAGGAACTGGGACAATAAGTGATGCGATTTGACCTTCATGCTTCGACATCCGATTTGGTGCTCGAACCACAAGCAATGTTCCCACTGACCCCGGTGACTTATGTCGATGAGTCTTATCAGGTAGTGTGATCAAATCCTGAGGGAATTCCATCAGGCCGCATACGCGGAACTGACCGTCCGTGAGCGTCGCGCCATCATCAGCATGATCAGAGACCACTGGAAGTTTGGCACAGATGAGATGTCGCACAGATGACTGCCATTCCTTCACTACTGAAGGTAAGAAATGATGAATGACAATGCCGAAGTGGTTAGTAAGTAAGAAGATTCATCTTACGCTTGAAATCACTGAATAAATTAAACCTGAGATTTTCTACTTTACAGTTTGATTAGTTACAGATTCGACAGAAAAAAACCCAGAGAAATACACCTGATAACTGGCGTTCTTTACAAAAAAATTAAGGTAGTATATTTGCAACTCAAGAATTCAAAACCTAAACGGAAAGTACGGTTAGTGCTTCACCCTATCTCTACACCTCAGCAATTGGCGTCTCAACAACAGTACTCAAGCTAGTCAAGCAATAAATCCAACTAGTTATCACGGAAATTTCCATTACCATACTCAGTGCAATCTGAAAACATCCCTGATCTGAGCTTTGTCCGCTACCATAGGTTGCACATGAGTAAACAGAGATGAGTAAATGCTAAATCGTGTAACACAGAGATGCACTAAGTTTTTGATTGTCAAGTCAAGTTAGGCTTTATGCATCTGATAGGGTGGATTTTCAGCAAGTTCAAAGAATTTACGGTTAAGAAAGCGTTAAGCATTGAGAGAGAGAAATACGCAACGCTTACTAAATCAAAAACAAATGGACGTGATAAAAAGCTAAGGTGACAGGCGATTTTCAAATCAGTAACGATAGTTGCTCGATACACTAACGTTGTGAGTAATACGTTTGGATTGCGCGAAAGAACGTGACTGGCTATTTCTCTCAAATGTCAAAATGAACAAGAGCGAATTAATGTTCAAAATGGTAACTACGGAAAATGCGGATCCACCGTCGGACCATTCCACCGATCATCCTGTGTGCTTGTGGTGATTCTGGATATCCGTAGCAGACGAGACATTTTGTTGTATGCATATATGCCAATTTACCGATTCCACTAACGTTGTTCGTAAGATATAACTGTCCTCGTCCCAGCATTGCTTTGTGGATTTACAGCACTAAGACACCAGCAAAATAAGGAATGATATTGTTGTCGGTGTGTGGTGTTACGTGCACGAGGAATCCTAAATTTGGAACGCGTGTTCCGATGAGACATTAGCTTATGGAGATGGGCGTGCAGGCACTGCTCTTCATTTGACAGTATGCGGCTAATAAATCTATTACATACATTAAAATACTTGCTCACAATCAAATCAACCAAAACGGTTTCTGAAATGCCACCGCAACGGGAAAGAAGTTTAAGGATCTGGAAAAGAGAAAGAAGTCCTTCTCCTTTATACCGGGGATATTCCGGGGAACAGTATAACCAGTGTGAAAGAATGCAGACTGTAACAAATTTAAGAATTACATTGAGGGGAACGCTGGCTTTTCAAGTCTAAAAGCATAGAAGGATAATCTACGAATCCTAACATAAATGTTTTGTTAATATATTTGCATCAAGAAAGGTTATGTGAAAAAGTAACTCCAAGATATTTGACAGAGTTAGCATTGGAGACGACATTACCGTTAACAGCAAGTTCAGGTTGGTTACTAAACTGGATTTGGATTTGGAGTGCCTGCATTGGGGTTAAAATGAATGCCCACATATTTGTCGACATTGAACATCAAATATCGAAGTAATAGTTTGAGCTGCCTACGAGAACCCGCTATTCAATGGAAAAGATTTCCGAGTTGTTCACTAATATCCCACCAAGTTGGACACCGAGCCGGGTAGGAAAATTTACAAAGTTTGTTAGGAAACAGATATCAAAACGATTGATCTCGCCAGCCACAATTCATTGATACTGGTTTGAACCTGTTGCAAAATGTGAGGAGAGAGTCAACAAACAAAAACGAATATCAAAGGTAGACGTGTCGGAAGCAATATATATATATATATATATATATATATATATATGTATTTAACACCGGCTT